GGAAGGGCCCGCTGCTCTGGATGACGTCCACCGGGACCTGCCGCACCCCTGGCTGCAGGGCTGGGTGACCAGATTCAGCATCACACGAAGGTGTGTGTGAAATAAAGTCCTAGCTTCCCTGCTCCGGCCGGGCTTTTCTTCCCCAAAAGCACTTTCTGAAACTGGATCGTGAGGTAGCTTGCAATTTTGCTCACCTTGTGTTCTGCTTCCTTTCATCTTAGCGCCACTAGGAGTACCGGGGCCCCCCGAGGAAGGCTTCCTAGAAGAGGGAGATGGGGTTCTTGTTAACACAGTTGGCTAGGCTCAGGGAAGGCAGCGAGGAGCCTGGGCTTCCTCGGGACAACCCAGTCCTGGCACCCTGATGTCCGCGAGTCCGGGCCGCCTTCACTGGAACACAGACACAGAGCTCCTGCCCGGCCGAAGCTGAGGAGGGCCCAGAGGGGTAAGAGTGAGAAGAATGAGCATGTTTGCCAAGCCTCAAAGATCTCAACTTCGGTCAGGGGTTCATTAATTCATCAGGCCAACTGTATGCGCCTGATCCCACCTGGTAAAGGGAGACGGAGCTCCTTCCTGAGAGGCAAAAACAGCGTTTTCCCGTCAGGCAATGTGAAGAGTGCCCCGGACAGGCAAAGAGGTGGGGGGTAGGCGAGAGACAAAGCCCTGTTTGCTCAGGTTCATGGCGAAGGACGTCCAGAGACAGGGATCAACAAGGCCAAGGGCACAGGGCGGAGAAGAATGATGTCGAAATGGAAACTGATCAGCCCTATGGCTTTGCAGGGAACCCAGGCAGGGATACGGGATCAGGAGGAGAGAAAGCTGGGCTGGGCTGGGCTGGGCTGGCAGAGTCCTGACTTCCCAGCTTAAAGGCTCAGATCTATTTCTATAGCCTCCTTACTGGTAACCTTTCTCTGGAAAGGGCCAGACAGTAAATATCTTCTGCTTCATGGGCCATAGGTTCCTGCCAGAAACCAAGGAACCCTGAATGTTATTCAGCCCTAACAAGACGTACTGATACATGCTAAAATGGATGAATCTCAAAAATATTATCCTGGGGGCACCTGGCTGGGCTCAGTTGATGGGGCATGCGACTCTTGGAGTTCGAGCCCCACAATGGGGGTAGAGATTACTTCAATAAATAAACCTTTTAAAAGTATATATATTATCCCAGGTAAAAGAAGCCAGGCACATAAGGCAACATTTTGTATGATTCCATCTGAAAAGTCCAGAACAGGCGAGTGAGACAGAAAGCTGATTGGTGGTTGTCAGGGGCAGCAGGCTGCAGGAAGAACGGGGAATGACTGCAAATACATACAAAGTTTCCTCCTGGGCTAGTGAAAATGTTCTAGAACTAGACAGAGTTGGTGGCTGCACCTTGTGAAGGTCTTCAGGCCATTAAATCGCTTGCTTTAAAACAGTTAATTTGATGTTATGTGCCTTTCATCTCTATTTAAGGAAAGAAAGAATGAAGCCTGATGTCATGGGGGAGAGGGAACCTTGAATCAGGAGAGTCAGCGATGCCTCCCAGGTGTCCCGTCTGGGCAAGGGGGAATGAATGCCACGAACAGAGACCAGCAACTCGGAAGGTGCACATTGAGGGGCGGGGCAGGGCAGGGGCCTGGTGCTGTAACCCCTGCTGACATCAGGACACAAGCCCCACTGGTCACAAAGTGACCTGTTCAGCTCACGGCAGCCACCTCCTGTGTGGCAGGTTCTGAGGACCCCAAGTCGGTGCTGGGCCACAGTGGGGAGAGGCAACCTCACAAATGCTCACTAGGTGCCGGAAGCTCTGCTCCTTCGCAAAATCCTCCCAATCCTACAACTACCTCACCGTTGGCCTGCTTTATCCTTGTTTTCTAGACGAGGACCTGAGGGTTTGAACAGGTCACCCCTGGCAAGTCTCAGAGCTGGCAAGGGACAGAGCAAAGATTCCCTATGGGGTCAGAGCTAGGGCTCTGGAGTCAAACAATGTGGGGGGGAGTTCATTGCACCTGTGCCAGCCTCTGGTACCACCCCCCTCCCCCCCAAAACGTCGGAGAGACTAACGGGAATCTCAGGATAACGCAGGGTGGAGAAAACCCAACCGATTTCAGTCAGCCTATTTAACTTCAATTTGCACTGGAACAATAAACATGGGCCGAAAGCACAAATAAAACAAACCCAGCCCAAGCATCACACCTAGCACCGCCAAGTGTTCAAAGTCTGTCTCTCTTGTTCCTGCTGTGACAAATGACCTTCCCTCCCTGAGCCTCTATTATGTCACCTGTAAATGGGATGCGTAGAAAAAAAAGAGACTGGAAAGATTAAAGGAGACAGTTTAGTGGCCCAGCACTGTCCACTACAAAACGTTAACTGTAATCACCCCAGATCACATTCAGGAGCCACGCACTGTTGTAAGAGCTTTTCAGTTTCACACAAGGCCTACAAGATTGAGCGGCGGCGTCACTCCGCCGATTTCGCAGGGGAGGAAGGCGGAAGCACAGAAAGGTTAAGCCACTAGCCAAGGCTCGCCCCGCACCCACATAACTGACTCGGGACTCAAGGTCTAGTTCCGCGCCCACGCTCCCGAGCATGCGCAGAGGCCGCACCCCGCCTCCCCGAGCCTGTGCACCCTCGGTGGGTCCAGAAGGGATCAAATCCCCAACCCCCAACGCTGCTGGCCCTCCCCCACCAGCTCCCGGCCATGGCCTTCTCGCCGGCACCGACAAAATCCAGGCCCGCGGCGCCTCAACTCACCCAGCACCGCGCCCCGACGAATCCGCCATTTCCCGCCTTTAACTCAAAGGCCGGCTCTTCAAGTCCGTGTGCCCGCCCCCTCGCTCCGGACCGGGCCATATTGCGGCGCCATAGGAGGGGTGGCCACGGACCTCGGGGAGCGTGCCTGCGGGTGCAGCGGGCGAACCCGGCTCGCGCGCCTCGCTGTGTTCCCCTCACACTTGGTTTCACCCACCAGAGGCAGGAGGCGGTGGCCGGAGCCCGTAGGGAGGAGGCGGGTCTTCGGGACGCTCCGCCCTGCGGCGCTCTGGCGTCACGCCCCAGCCCCGCCCCTCCGAAACCCGGAAGCGGGAGCGCGCGGGGGAGCGGCGGGCGCGGCGGGGCGGAGCGGCCCGACCAGTGGTGGGCGGTCGGTCGGGCGGGCGGCCGGG